TGTAGTATATAGAATACTTTTTGTACATATATACGCATATATATATATTTATTTATTTAAGGGTAGATAAGCTGATAGGTTCCAACTTGTGCATGAAAAAACTGCCAGTTATCACTTCCCTTGGCATCCATATGAGGCTCTCCAGGCTTACAAGAAAATAGGAGTTTAGGTTTGTCCACCAACTAATATAGTTCAGGGGTGGAGAACCTGCGGCGTTAGGCCACGAGTAGCCCTCTAGGTCCTCAAGTGCAGCACTTTGACTGAATCCAAACTTGGCCCGCCCCTGCCTAGAATCTTCTAATTATTTTCCTGAAAACCTGTCTCTCTACTAGCAAGCAATTGGTGGAATGAGGAAGTTTCTGGAGGAGTCAAGGAAATCTCAGGATCAGATTTCCCAGTTTGTGACCTCTTTGACTTGACGCAACAAAGGAAATATTAACCACTGTGTTTCACAGTAAAAAGAGAGGAAGGGGAAAGAGGGGGTGGGGGAAAGAGAAAGAAAAGACAGTTTCATTGGTATGACACAGTAACTGTAGAAGATAACTACTGGCACCAGTAGCTACTTGCTGAAGCAGGTATCTAGAGATAGCTAAGCCATGGCTAAGTGAAAGAGGAAGCAGGCAATATTAATTTCTTCCTCTATGACTATCAAAAAAGCATCATATTTTTCTTTTAAAGTAAAAACAAAACCTTAAGGACACTCCCTCCCTTGGAAAAAAATTCATGAATGGTATACAATACCATTAAGTATTTTGTTAATGCTTGAGAAAACTAGAAATTAACTCCCTCACGCTGATTTCCCTAGACTCCCACACCAGAGTGTTTACTGTCATTTGAACCATTTTAACTGAGGTGAAGTTTTCTAATTTCAAATCCTCTACTTCTTTAACTGAAAAATCTTCTCAATAACCATGTAGAATGTAAGTTCCTTGATAGCAGGAGATGATTCTTTTTACATCTTTGGCATCCTTAACACTTAGAGCACAGTAAGTGCTTAAAATGTTTGCTGAACTGAATGAATTTGGAAAGTAAACATGGCCTACAAGTTGTCCTGTCTCAGACTTTCTTGTTTGCATAGATTCCTTTCTAAAAGTCACATGCTAATTTGTCTGATAAGAGATTATCTTGCAGATGAAGAAAAGGAGACATAGGATTTGTTTTTGCCAAAGTCATGTTACATAGTTCCAAACATGCAACCCAAATATGCATGACAAAAGCTTCAATACCATTTCAATTAACCTGAACAGCATATGACAGGTCTCTAAGAATCAATTCTTAGCTTTCTACAAAGCTCAAGTCAGGAACTACCTCATCCATAAAGCTTTTCTTAATCAACCCAGTACAAAGTGCTATCTCTTCACTCCTTCAATTACCTTATTTAATCAATCAATCCACATTTGTTAAGTACTTATTAAGTGCAAAGCACCAAGCCAGGTGCAGAGGATAGAAACACAAATCTGTGTCCCTGTGGTAACTCCCAGAAGAATGTAAGCCCCATGAGGGCAGGAGTATTTTTGTTTCTTTTTTATCCCTAGTGCTTATCACACAGTGCACCTACTAGGTGTTTAATAAATGTCAGTTGTATTAAACTGAAACGGATCCAGTAAAAATGTACTCCAGAGGTTAAATCTGTTATACTTTTGTTATTTTAAAATATTCGCCCTTTTTTTTTGGAGGGGGTGCACAAGGGGAGAATATACATTTTTGTTCAACAATACGGTAAACTAATATAAACATGTCTATTGTCTTCTCTATTAGCCATTTATTCCACTATCAGCTAAACCCTGTGATTATGTGCTTAATACAGTTGGCAAACTGCAATCTCAGATTATCCCAAAATAATTATTTTTGGTAAAAAGTACTTCTTACAATAAGAAGTTTGGTATAATCATCATTTTCAATTAGTACTCAATAAATGTTCATTAAGAAATATGGTCAACAGACATCTCTAAATATAAAGTATTAATATATGTATATATTCCTTTAAGTTAATATCAAACCAGATAAACTCATATCAGACTTAAAGTGTTACAGCATTCCAGAAGGGACCTTAGAGATAATTTAGATAATTTAGAGTGGACTAATGTGTAGATTAGTCTACACATCATGGAACTGAGGCCAAAAGAATCAACGTCTTGCCCAAGAAAGGTCACAGCCTATCTAGTTCCTTGCCTTCTAAGTGCTCTCTCTCTCTCTCAAACCAAATACACAAAAATTACTTCCACCCTCTTTTTTTTTTTAAAGGACAGAAACAAGCAAGAATAAAAGAGAAAACAATGATTTCTTTAAAGAAAAGGAAAGATTGATACTAGCTTTATGACCATGTTCCACATCACCATTCTCCAGGTGTATGACTAGCTCAGTTATAAAGCCAGGGTACAGATATAATGAGATGAGTGGGAGTGAGAAGCTGCAATTGTGTGACGATTTGAGACTGAGTTTAAACACTGGGATCATAAGTATGGTTGGATCTGATTCTTTAAGCCAACTAAAGCTCCATGAAGACACTGGATGATCCACATTCAAAAATCACTTAGTTTTACTTTGCTGAACAGAGCTACAAACCATAATTCAATTATGACATGGTGTCAAAAACTCTACCAGATTGAGCGACTGGATGATTTCAGAGTGTTAAAATTCTATATTTAAAAGTAGAGAATTTAACCTCTCTTTTACAAGAACAAAATATATTCTTTTGTATTATAATTACAGCATCATAATGAATACTATTTCCTTTTCCCTGGACCTATCAATTTCATTAATTTTTTTTTTCTGAATTATAACCCAAGGAGAAATGCGGCTAATCATTTTATTGTTGATTTATATCAGAAATGAAAAAGGGATCATTTTCGCTTCATATGGACGTCTGTCATGTATTTGTTGCAATTTTTCTGGACGACAACTGTGGGGAAAATTTCATTAAGTCACACAATGCAGGATTTTAAGTGTTTCTACTCTATATGGGGCACACAATTAAGTAACTTAAAAAATAATTTACCCACTCAGCATGTAACAGTGAGAAAAAAGTCTGGTAGAAGTTAAAAAAAAAGGGCAAAGAATATCAAGAAATTTTGAATAATCTAATAGTTTGCATTATCTCTACTGTTTAAGTTTTGGGATAATCAAACCACCAATGCTCCAGAAATAAAAATCTGGTTAACTCTGAAGTACCAAGCTTCTTTAAAGACACACACACACACACACACACACACGTTTGCACCCATGAGGCTACATTGTTAGCTATAAAGCCCTTGAAAACTTTCTAGTTAGCAATCATTATCCTTAATCTACTCTCAAAAAACTCTTCCTCAAGAATTTATTCTAGAACTGAAGAGATATCTATCTCTTGAAGTAATTTGCACACTGTGCAAAATTTGTGGCTTAGAAACTAGATGCAAAATAGGTTTTAAAATAAACCATTGGTATATTTTTAGAATTACAAGTATCCATCTAAAATAATGAGGAAGTTATATGAAATGTAGTTTCTTACAATTTATGAATAGATGCCATCTTCTTTCTGTATTTTATTCCATAGTACAGATTTTAAAACATTGAAGAGTAGTGCCTTTAGTAAGAATTTAAAATTGTAAAACAACAAATTCGACTTATGCCCACTTAATTCAGAACTATTCAAACACATTTCCTTATTTACACACACACACACACACACACACACACACAAGTGAATGCACAAATACACACACCATAAATATGGCAGTTTAGTTCAACAAACACAAGGAATTATACCTAAATCCATAATGACATTTAGAAAGGCAGACATGAGACATGACTATAAAATAATAGGGCTGGCATTTTACCAAACATGAGAAGTTATACATCTAAATAAATGTTCCTTCTGCATAACCTTGAGAGGCTATACACTTATGTAACCAAATACTGGTACCCCTCAAAGAACAATTTTGGAACTCTCCAGTGGGAACTCATTTCAGGAACACTTTATAAAATACACAGGTAAATCAATTTCACTACTTATTTAGTCATATCTTATTGTGAATCCAAATAGTATCTCATAGGGTTGATCATGCACTTTATTTATCAGGCTTAACTCCAAATGATCTTTGGCTACTTCCAAAATCAAAGCCACTCATAAAGGTGAAAACTTTGACACCACTGAGAATAGTAAACAGAATATACTACAGATGCTGAAGACTATTTCAGAAAAGGAACTACAGAAATAATCTGAGCAGTGGCAGCATTGTTGGAATAGATATGTATCTGCCTTGGAGCAACAACTCTCATTCAGATCTAAGTTCTTTTAAAGTTGTTTTAAAAATTAACCACATTACTCTACAGTTACACCTTATACATATCTTTAAGCTCCTAACTCTGAATTTTAAGTTTTAAACCCACAAATTCATCATGTCCATATGTTTGTATGTGAATATTAGAAAACAAAACAACCTAACTGAATTAAAATCTACATCAAATATCTGGTTATTTCTTGCTTCTGAAACTACAGGGTAAGCCATTTTTAAAAGCCCTATTTATTTCTTTTAGGAAGATTTGATTTATAAAGATTCAAATGAAATTTTTATTATTGGTCATAATATAATGGGTTCAGAAGCCTTTACTCTGGGGAACATAAGAAATGACAGAGTAAGAATTACAATATACGAGTGGAGTTTCCAACTCAGAAGCGCCAAACATTTTTAAGAATCGCAAAGTGTCCTAAGGCAGTACAAATCAACAGTTATCTACTGAACTTTCAAAAATGATTTTTAATTTTCATTAAAAAAGCCTGAAACTTCTAGACACATATGCACCTCTACTCAATCACCTTTTGATATACAATTAGCAACTTAAAATAAGATATCTCTATGTTCATCTTTTATAGCTCCAATATATTATATACTCAATATATAATATGTACAATACATATATGCATTCAGCAGGACTAAAAAGTATTTTTAAAAGTTTGATGAGTGTTGATAAATATTTTTATGGTATTTTAAGATAAATTTGTCCAATAATATAAAAAAAAAACCCTGAAATTGAGGCCCACCCAAATTTGTGATATCCAATCTTAGCAGCAAGCTGCTAAAAGCAATTGTTCATAGAGCCATTTGTTGTTTTAAAGAACTGCAGAGATTGAGACAATGTACATTTTTTTTTTTTGACAACGTACATTTTAAAATAATTCCTGCTATGCTCAGGCAGCAATACTTGCTGATATTATGCACTTATATCTCCATTAAATTAAAATACACTACAGCTTCCTTTGCTGTAATATACAGCAGCTGTTTCTTCTTTCCTGTTGGACTTCTTGTAGTTGCTGTTATTCATCTGGCAGAGCAACTAATACAGTTCCAACAGAAGTTTACTTTTTCTCCCTTGTCTCCCCCCAAGTATGGCTCAGTTTCAAGATTGTTCTCTAGGCAGCCACCATTAATATTACCAGTACCTTAACACCATTAAAAGGCATCAGACAATGACTGAAGTCACAAACAAAATTTCAAAGACAGTTGGGTGTTACTGTAAACCAAGGTATCACGAGCATTTAAATAGCCCTCTTGAATCAGTAAATATGTATGTATATATGTATATACACATATGCACGTACATACACACACATACATATATGTATATATACACATGTGTACATATATTTATCTATGTAAAGAAAAGTCACAGTTCCACTGCCACAATTCAATAGTTACTCACCTACTATTTACATAACAAAATTAACAAACCAACTTGTGATTTTAAACATTAAAACATCAATTCACCCTGAGAAGACAGAGGAAGCATTAAAAAAAACAAACTACTTGGATGATATGTATTTTTCTTCAGTCTTTCTGCTTTCTTCTGATTTTCCTCAGCCCTTTCTTCAAAGGCACATGAACTCCAGACTAGGTTGCCTTCAATATCTTTTGCTGTTGTTGTCTTTGTTAGCGGATTAGTTCATGCCACAGTTAGATACTGGTGATAGAAAAGTCCAAAAAGGCTTGTGGCAAAGAGGCAAGCAGCAATCCACCAGGTCAGAAATGACAAGAGCCCTCGGAAGAGCAGAGGAGTAAAGATGGTCTTCAGGCTGCCCAGTGCCATTGTTATCTGGGTAACAGTTACCTTCGTTTTCTCATCAGCAGATGGTAATTCAGAGTGAACAGAATCAGTGAACGGATGGTTCTCCACTAGAGAGTCAGAGTTAGACTGGGAATAAATCCCCCAGGAATGATTACCTGTAAAATCCAAGTTAACAAATGAAACATGAATGGGAACAGGTTCAAAAAGCCTTGATTTTTCAAGTAAGACATGAATGTCAAAATTCTCTAGCCAACCTTTGCAATTAAGAACGACAAAAATTACCAGACCATCAGATTATTACTTGATGTGGAACAAAAAATTAAAACAAAGAGCAATCAGTAACATTCCCTTAATAAAAATTGTTATTGAACCTTAGTAAATGACAAAACTACATATAATATGACCTTGGAAATAAAACATGCCAAAAAAAATATTTCTGAATTTATTTCTAATCAGCATGGGGCAAGTCACTTAATCTTTTGAAACTCTTGAAACTTTTTCAATTTCTTCATTTACAGAACGAGGGGATTGGACTTGGATGACCTCTGAGGTCTTTTCCAGTTCTGAATCTATGATCCTCTGGAAACTAAAATATGGTAAGATAATGAAAAAATATATTTTCTTAAAGACGAGCATGGCTATAATAATAATGATGATAATGATTACTAACATTTAGAATATTTTATGGCTTAAAAAACAACATGTATTTATTACTTTATTTGGCCTTCACAACAACCCTATGAAATAGGCACCGCAGACATTGTCCTCCCTATTTCACAGATGCCAGAAAAGGAGGATCATAGTACATTAAGTGACTTAACCAGAGTAAACTAGCTAGTATGTGTCAGAAGCAGGACTTGAAACTGGGTCTTGCTGACTGATCACAAAACTACGACTCTTCAGAGTTATTAACCAACCATAGCTTTAGCTATAACACGCAAGGCGGAGGATAAATTAGGTGACTTCTTAAAAGTCCTCACTATTCTATGACAAACTCTCAATATCACAGTAACATTTTCAAAAAGAAATAATTAGCAAAGTCAATGCTAGAAGCTAATAATAACTTTCGGAAAGTTTTCATCATACACTCACAGTTTTGTATTTACAACTATCTATTCTCTATATTGTATCTCTAGATTTCCTAGGTTATCTATTAAACCCATTCACACAGTACTTGTGGCTTCTTTTGGTCTCTCCAAACACACCTCCTGATGAACCTGTCAGATAAAAGGTTATCTATCTTATCAGCAAAGCTCTTGAATCAAGCCAGGAGGACGTGACACTAGGGAGACTTTACACTTTTTAATGCTGAATTCTAATCCTCTCATCAGGAATTGCCTAGAATGAAGTGCACAAATGAGAGACAATAAAGCTTACTTAGTTCAAATAAACATTCTGTATAGTGAAAGTCAGTATTCCACCTGGCAGAAAGTTGTTAAACTTTTTAAAACATCAATAGCAACTTAAATCTAGTAATGAGTTTTTAAGAGACCCATCCTCTTGCTACACTCAAATTGAGATGAATAATATGTAATAGTGACCAGTCATGACCAATGAAGTCTTTTAAAACTGAAGAATTAATAGGTGGTTGATAATCCTCTTAAAGATATAAACACAAAGCATGGAGAATAATAAGTTAGGCATGAAACTTCAAAACTTTATGATCTGGAGTTTTCAAAGACAAGCAGATGAAACAATTTTTTATGCTAAAAGTTATTCCTGCTTTTTAGGATACAGGGTTTTTTGAGATGGGTGCTTGAGAGCACTCACACTCTCCATATTTACATGTCAGTGTGTTATTAATCCAATACAGCTTGCGTGAATACAGAAATCATGGCTGTGGCATGCGTACCTAGTGTTTTCAAAAGCAGGGTTGTGTGGAGCAGCATGACCAGAGGTGCTACGTACTGTAGTGCAATTACACAAAGGTAATAAAACACTCTCGCCACCTGAAAACAACAAAAATCTTGAGTGACTGATAATGCAGAGAACCTTAATACAACTATCATACTAAACTTACAAATTTTTACAATATTACAATTGCTCAAATACTGTGTTTCAAAAAATATCTGACTATTCAAAAGGATCACAGATTCTTGTATTGGCTTTTAAAAACATATAAAAAATTACTTTTAAAACTCATTGTTTTTCTTATGCAGAAAAAACATTGTTTTTCTTATGGAGTCAATGGAAAATGGAGTGAAAAATCCCTTATGTTGACATCTCTCAAAGGCCATGTTAATGGAGTATGTGTACTTGATATTTGAAAATTAAACCAAGAAAAACTATCTATGAATGTAAACACTTTATTCTGTAAAGACCAAATTCAACTCTAGAAGAGCAAACAAACATTTTCTAGCACTACTACATGCCAGGCATTGTGCTAAGGGTTTTACAAATACCCATTTGAGCCTCACAACAACCCTGTGAGGTGAGTGTTATTATCACCCTCATTTTACACATGAGGAAACTGAGGCAGACAGAGGATAAGTGACTTGGCCAGAGTCACACAGGTATTATCTGAAGCTGAATTTGACCTCAGGTCTTCCTGACACGAGACTCAGTGCTCTACTCACTGAGCCACCCAGCAGCCTATTACTCTAGGTGAGTAGTACTCCTGATGGTCAAATCATGATTAAGATGGGACTACATGAAAGAAAAAAAAAAAAGACCTTGAAAAAGGGTCCAGGATTCATACAACCGTTAATAGGAGTAGGTGGGGAAACTATGAAACTCAAAAATGTAGAGTCGTTCACTCTTCTTGTTTCTACCATGAGGTGAGAGACTGGATTGCTCACATTTTTTTCTTCTTTGGGTTTCTCACCATAAACCATATATATATACACTTCTTTTGTGGTGTTCACGTAAGGGCACAACAGGGAAAAATAATTCTAACCCTAAAAACAAATATTCCTTACTCTGTAAGTCAGAAAGACTGGATAAAGACCTATTCTGTGTAGTGTTAAAAGGCTCTCTATCTTGAGACACTTAAACCAGGGAAGGCAGAACTAGGAATAATAATGGAAGCCTTTTATTTTTCTAGTACCTAGCATACAGATCAAGTTATGATTTTCGTTTATGACTTTAGTTTTGAGAATTACCAAACAATAAGTCCTTCTTATTTACTGAAAAAGTCCCCAGTGGAGTTGAGTATTTGGGACCTGGTTCTAGCCTAAAGGATGCAACATCATGGCATCAACCTGTTGTCACAACAGTAAAATATGGAGATTCTCAGAAACTGCTTCTTTCTGAGGCTTCCACAATCACAGCAGTTTCGACTAGGTAAAACACCCATGCTTGAGATGAGATCAGATTCTTAAATTAACTTCCTGTTTTGTGATCGATACACCAAGATGACTTTGGAGATGCTGCTGTCTGTTGTTTGGTTTTCTCATGACTTAATTTTGGACTATTCTATTTCCTTAGAAATGGCATCTCAATTAATTGACAACCAGTATTTTACTAAGCACTTACTGTGTGAACACTTTCCTGGTGTTCTCAACAGACCATCATCAATCAACGCTGAAGCCATTGACTGTTTACCTCAGGTTGAAGTCAATCCCTCCCTAGCTGAAGTTCCAACTGAAGAAGGGGTTTTGAGTGTCATTAGGCTCCTTTCTCATGGCAAAGCACCTGGTGTTGATTCTATTCCAGCTGAGATTTACTAGGTGGGGGGCAGGGATGGGGTCCCTTGCTCACACAAAAGCTGACTGAAATTTTCTGGGTTATATGGCAAGAGGTTATCCCTCAGGAGTTCAAGGATGCCTCCACTATCCATCTCTATAAAGGTAAAGGAAATAGATTGTCCTGTGACAATCATAGGGGGCTCTCTTCCTTAGTCACTTCCTGCAAGAGTCTTGCCAGAGTACTCCTTAATAGACTGATCTTTCTTCTGGAAGATGGTCATCTATCTGAGAGCCATTGTCGCTTCAGAAAGGGCCAAGGACCCTTTCAATATGGTGTTTGCTGCCTGACAACTCCAGGAAAAATGCAGATTTGACCAAGGCCTTTGATACAGTCATTTGTGAGGGATTATGGAAAATTATGTCAAAATTTGGTTGCCTGAAGTTCATCAGTATCATATGTCAATTTCACAACATGTCTGCCCAGGTTCTGGATAATGGATGATGCTCTCATGCTTTCCCAGTCATCAATGGAGTGAAACACGGTGATGTGCTTGCTCTCATGCTTTTAGCATGATATTTTCAGCCATGTTGTCAAATGCCTTCAATGAGGACAAATACGGCATCAATGGTAAATTCTTCAACTTGAAAAGGCCACAAAAGCCAAGACCACAAGTAGAGGAAGGAATGTTTGTGCATCATTTTTGTTCGCAGATGACTGTGCACTCAATGCAGTCTCTCAAGATGAGATGCAACAAATCATTTCTCTGCTACTTGTGCTAATTTTGGCCAAACGATTAAAACCAAAAAAACACAGGTGCTCCATCAGCCAGCACCACACCAGCTGTACGTGGAACCATTGGTCACAGCAAATGGAGAAGTTCTGAATGGCATGGATAAGTTCACTTACCTTGGCAGTATACTTCCAAGAACATACACATTGATAATGGGGCTGGTGCAAGCACTGCCAGAGCTAGCTCAGTGTTTGGGAGGCTCCAAAGGAGAGTGTGGGAGAGAAGAGGTATTAGTCTGACTACGAGGATGAAGGTCTACAGAGCTGTTGTGCTGACCTCATTGTTGGATGCCTGTGAAACCTGGACACTATACCAGCACCATGCCAGGAAACTGAATCGCTTCCATTTGAATTGTCTTAGGAAGATTCTGAAGATCACCTGGCAGGATGAGACACTAGACACTGAGGTGCTTTCTTGAACATTCAGAGAGCACAACTATAATGGGGAGGGCACACTGTTTGAATGCCAAACGTATGCTTGCCTAAAAGACTACTTTATGGAAAATTCACACAGGGTAAGTGCTCACACGGTGGTCAAAAGAAGGGATACAAGGACACTGTTAAGGTCTCTCTTGAGAACTCGGGAACTAAATGTGTGACATGTGAGACACTGGCACAGGACCACCCAGCATGGTGTGCCCTCATCATAGAAGGTGCCATGCTGTATGAGCAAAGCAGAACTGAAGTAGCCCAAAAGAAATGTAAGAAGTGCAAATTTAGAGAATCCACCCCAAACGTTCACATGTACTATTTGTGCTTGACCTGTGGTACAGCATTCTGAGCTCATACTGGTCTGATCAGCCACTGCCAGACGCATTGTAACGACTCTAACAGAGTAATGTCATTTCAGTCCTCTCTGAGAATGAAGGACAACACCAACCATGAGCCAGGAATTATGATAAGTGTTGAAAATTCGTAGAAAGTGCAAATGACCCCTCCCTTTAATAAACTTTTCTTCTCATTGGGGAAAGTGTAAGTACATAAATAGGTATATGCAGGTACAGAGCAGATGGGAGGTAATCTGAGAAGCAAAGGCTCTAGCAACCGTGAGGACTGAGAAGGATATCTGGTTGAAGCTGGTGTTTTCTTCACTTTTTCCTTTATTCAGCTCATTTGATGATACAAGCTGGGACAGGGTGATTAATCTTCTTTCCCTCCTTAGTGGTACCCCACCCCCTCCCCCCAATCAAAGGCCTTTCTTGATCTCCCCAGATGTCCTCTCCTCTCCAAAAGTGACTTTTGTAGTGTGTGTGTGTGTGTCTATGTGTGTGTGTGTGTTTATGTGTGTAATATAATAATTTGTGTACATTACTACTTTCTCCAGATAGAAGGCAAGGTCAGGGACTATTCAGCTTTTGTCTTTGCACTGCTAGTGCTTTGCCCCGGGCTTGGCATACAGAAGGCATTTAATAAATACCTATTGAATTGAATTCTATTGTATATACTGAAAAGAAAACCAACCTGTGGGATAGTATTAGTGTTGTAATAAATGAATTGAATCTGTTTTCTTAATAACAAGGAGACAGCCTCGTTCCATCAAAATATTTACCATTTTCTGTAAATCAACGGTGCTTATTCTCCCAGCTTCCTTCTTCATTTGATCCACACACTTCTGGGCTAAGTTCAGGTAAGCTTGCAGGTGATTGCGCATCAGAGCCAACCTCAGAGCACAGAGCAGGATTATCAACCACAGTCGCACAGTATCAAATGTGGTTTCTGTCATTCTGCAGATCAAACAAGGTGATAAAGTGATGTCAAAGGTCAGTGGAGTTACTTTTCATTGTGGGCACATGAGCACACATGGACCCTGAGGAGAAGGGGAAGGACAGCAGCCTGCAGAACCTTAACATTCTGTAGCAAAATCTTCTGTAATGGGGTTCTCTTAATTAACCAGAGATGCTAAAGTCAGACACCGGAAAGAAAACAACTCTGAAGTGTGACTTCATCACCTCAACATCCGGATTTCATGATCTCAAATGAAAAAGGCCCTTGTTCAATATGTAGCTTACTCTGTTTTCTTTCCTCTTGTAAAAAACCACCACTAGTCCATTTTTAAGTGTTTCCATTTTAATAAGTTCATGGATTATATGGATATTTTAGTGTCTATCTGTAATTCCGTTAGAATTATTCCAATATAATTTAATATTATATTGAGCAGGGTTGGGGGAGGAAACATAGAAATACTCACGCAGGAATATATCTATTGCATGCATGGATATATGTGTGATGGCCTGTGTGCACGTATATCTGAGCTGGTGCATACACATGTGTGCATACAGCAAAGAATGCAGTTTGTGGGTTTACTTTGTGTGTGTGTGTGTGTGCGTGTATGCATGTGTGCGTGCGCTTTGGGGGAAAGATCAATGGGGCTGATGGTCTGTAGAAGACTCAAGGATACCAATGCTGTCTGTGCCCACCCACTGGAGGTGGAAAGGGATTGGCATGGGAGGCTGCCACTTTAAAAGTTAAAGTCAAAGACATCATCAGGCTTGCAGGCTATAGTTGCAATGCTGATCACTGCTGAGCTATGCCAGGGGTAGACAATATCCAGCTGGAAACCTCATAAGCCCCTCACTGTGCTGATGTTCTCACACTTCCCCCTCATCAGAAAGGTACATGACTGACTCCACCTGGCTTAAAGGCAAGAGAGGAATCACCTAATATGGGTGTTGAGGCCTCCTGGCCTCTTTCATCTCCACGTGCCCCTTCACTGACCTTAGTCTCAGGAACTCTTTTATCATGCTTATATCTTGTTTGTACTTGGCTGTCCGCATGTTTTCTCCCCCATTAGATTATGAACTCCTTAAGAGCAAGTACTGGGCTTTTGCTTTTGGTGAGGGAAATGACTTTCTTTGTATCTTCAGCAGTTTGCACTGTGCCTGAAACACTGTATGAGCTTAATTAAGTACATGTGGACTTTAATAACTAACATTTATTTGCCTCTTTATGGTTTGCAAAGTGTTTTACACATATTATTACTTTATCCTCAAGATTAAGAAAACCATAGGTCATCATTTGTACTTTTACTTCGGTGGATCTGTAGTTTCATCAGGGCTCATGTTCCCTCCACTGATGCAACCCAACCTCACTTTCTCATTCTATGTACTTCCTGTCCATGTCCTTCTATAAACTATCAAGGGGGGAAGGAAGTGTTTACCCAACATTCTAACAGTCTTCCTTTAATTCTTTTAATATTTTATCTATGTTAACAAAGGTCGTCTGGATGCTTCCATTTGTGGATGACAGACAGAATGCTACTTGGAACATTGCAGAGTTTCCTGGCAGAGATCTAAACCAAGATTCTGACCCAACAAAACTCATAGGAAAAATCAAATAAGTGAAGAACAACTATCATTTTGATTATGATGTTCAGTTAGTTGGACAACTTTTAGAATTCATATTTGGACAGACACTGCAAATGGAGAACAATTTGGACCTAGAATAAAACAAGAAAAAGAGAGAAGGCTGGATTGTCTTTGGGAAACTGCAAAGCTCCTTTAATAACTCCAAACATTCCCAAAACCAAAGTCAATTTTAAATAACAATATTCTATTGGAAGTATTGTATGTTTGTGAATCACAGAACAAAATTTGTCTCTTTTAAGAATTAAAAATTAATGTCCTCAGAGGGCAACGGAGAAATGTGTGATGGGAAGCAGACTTCAACATGTAACAAATAGTAATCACTGGAGGAATAAGTAAAAGATGTCATGAAAGAAATATGTTTTCAAAAATAATATGGGCTGGTCACATGGCAAGATCAGTGGTGGATAGTGTGTGAGCTCCACTAGTCTCGTCAAGATGTCAAGAGGAAGTGAGGAAGGTCCCCAGCACACTGGGTAGAAATGTTGTGTTAAACTTATGGGAAGACATATGATGAGCAGGTATAGATAAGTCATGATAATGGATCCATTTATGTATTTGAGTAGCAGTGCCACAATGAAACTATTCATCACATAGATGAACTACCATCTTTTCCAATAATACATACCCTTGATGACGATGATGCCTTTTATGATACTTCTTATGCTCAAGTCATTGTGATTAATGTAATAAAGCTCACAATGTGTCTGGGTCAAATGAAATTTTATTTTTCTCAGATAACTGATTTGTAGCCTACATATTTACTGAGAAAATACTGGTATTAAAACAAAGGACTTCTGAAGCTTAGGATCTTTGAAAATACTATGTAATTTTCCAATGCAATTAAGCTCAAAGTCCTACTATGACTCAATTCTAAGCTCAGCTCATCCTCCATTTGCAGTGCCAATCTAAGATACACATGTACTGATGAACTACCTTAATGGTCTAGCTAATGAATGTCATAATTTGAAATTAAGTGGGTCTTTCATCCATTTAGGTTTTCTACTATGGCAATCTCTTTTGAGTAACTTTGGATTTCACTTTGGAGTCATCTACTATTCTAGTAATTCATATATCTAGAGAACCTCACTTTCTACAGTTTTGAAAGCCTACTTCTGCTAGCAGTGTCTTTTAGAAACTCAGACTAATCCTGAATCATCCTTTTCCCAAGGACCCTGGAAACCACAAGAAAATCTTGATGTTCTTCCTCTGCAGGAGGTTCAGAAGAAGGGGAGGGGGCTTTTCAACTGCTTTCAACACAACAGCAATATAGATATGGTATGGTCCAGAATAGTTTTTTTCAAAGTGTAGTCCCGGGATCCATAAGACCCTTTCAAAGGGTCTTTGAGATCAAAACTATTTATCATAATAATATCAAGCATTTATTATTTCTAATATGGTAAATATTGATAGACATAATCCACATAAACAGGAGATCCTCAAAAAATTTTAATAGTGCAAAGTGGTCCTAGGACAAAAAATTTTGAGAGATGCTAGGCTAGAAGAATCTAAATGCTTGAGTCCTAACTTATCTGGTACGCCCAGGCTTCTTAGACCCTGAAATGTTTCAGGTTTAGGGCTAGTGTCACATCTGATAGAGTAAACCATAGTTCATGAGGGTCAACTGAAATTAAACTGGTTCTTGTAATTAAGTAGAATCACAGAATCACAATACAAAGTTGGAAAGGACCTAACCAGCCAGCTAGTAGAATTCATGTTGGACTGGATCTCTGTTTGATTCAGTCCATTCTATTTTCTGAGACCTTCTCATGGTTATCAAAGTGCTTCAGGGCACATCAAGTACAAACCAATAAATTAAAACCAAAAAATGTGTAAAAATGAGTCTCAGTAAAAATGACAAAATAAACAACTGGAATAAAATAACTGGAATTAAAAATAAATAAATAAAAACTTAGTAACTTCTTCCTTAGGGCATGGAATTGGGTAGGTTGAAAACCAAATTGATAAGACAGAAACTTATGAACACATACTTGTCGAAATAAAATAATCAAAGACTACTGATGGAAACTAAGGTAGAGTGGCTAGAAAAAAAGATTATAGTCATGAAATGCCAGTGGATTGAGAGAGAGAGGAAAAGTGAAAGAGTAGAGAGGATAGATCAGCTGGTTTATAGGTCAGACCAAATGAGATAAAGACAATGAAATTAAGTGTGGTGGTAGAAGAACACTGAAAAGTTATAGTTCATAACTTCAATAGCTTTTTTTCTGGACTTAAATATATTGAAATGATGGTATTTGCTGATGTACACTAAGTTTGCAATAAAAAATTATTTCAAAAAGTGTACTGACAATGACAGGAAGTAGAGCTGATAGTATACATAAAAGGAATGCAAAAAGATAATGAGAAAATGTTGTTGAGCCGTGTCTGACTCTCTGTGACCCCATGTGGGGTTTTTTTTTTTTTTTGGCAAAGAAATTGGAGTGGTTTGCCATTTCCTTCTCTAGCTCATTTTACAGATGAGGAACTGAGGCAAACAGGCTTAAGTGACTTATCCAGGGTCACATAGTTAGTAAGTGTCTGAGGCCAGATTTACTCTCAGGAAGATGAGTCTTCCTGATTCCAGGCCCAGCACTCTATTGAACCACTTAGCTGTCCTGAAAATATGACTTTCTTTTGTAAGCTAAGAAAAGAGACCTCAACAAATCCTAAAAAAGTCTTCGGTCTTGTATATAGCCATATGGTTTACATAACCTAATTTATAGTGCTCAGAAAAAATCATCCACTGAGGTAGTAGCATGATACAGTGGAAAAAAGAACTGGATTTGGAGGCAGAAGATCTGGGTTCACAGCCCACTTCAGTCACTTGGATGTCTCTTTTAAGAGTCTACTTTGCTAATCAGAAAAATGAGGATAAGGGTATTTGCATCATTTACCTGATAGCATTGTTTACAGCAGAGGTGTCAAACTGGAGGCCAGATTCACAAGCCCCTGAGGCCCTACCAGATTAACGTGTTTAACAAAATAAATAAAAATACAATACACAGATAACAACACAGATAATGTCAACTTGTGGTTTTCTAAGTCAACATGTTGGCCAGCAAGGATCCATTTCTACTTAAGTTTGACAGCACTGGTCTAGAAGAGGATCAAATGAGACAGCGTAGTATTACATAGTTTCCTGGAGTTTGGAGCTAGGCTGTCTTCAGAGATCACCTAGTCTAATCTCCTTCATTTTACAGATGAGGGAACTGAGGCCAGAGTGATTAAGGGATTGCCTAAATGTATACAGGTACTAAGTGGCAGAGTTAAGCCATGAACCCAGGTACTCTGATGCCAATCTAATTCTCTTTCCTACTGAATCACACTGCTTAACTTTTATTAACAAATATTTAGTAAGCAGCTTAAATTGATTCTGCACTAGATCTCAAGAGCCCCAGCTAGGTGTAGGATGGAAAGGTATGGTGAATTAAGGCAAAGAAATCCTCTATCAATCATTCCTGAGAACTTGGTAGGAAGTATATAAAATATACATTTTTATATGTATACACACATATACGTATGTGTGTGACAGGTATGCATATAAACACACATCATATACACATAGGCGTGTGTTTATACAGTGGGATTTTTTTTGTCACAGTGCCGTCTTCTGGATTTCCTCATATAGGTATATGGACTTGGTTTACTTAAATAACTAATATTGCCACCAAATGAATACATAAATATTTGAATCTATTTCAGGGTTGAATCTACATTACAACCAAATTTGTTCTTAATTGCAAACAAAGGACTTCCTAGAAATTATTGTGCCTCTATGACAGAAGAGGAATCTGTCACTTACTTCCTCCACCACCCTGCATTCCTGATTGATAGGCTGCCTGCCTGGGTCCTTTCACAATCTACCATGTGGGCTGTGAATTTTAAATAAACCGTACTGTCTCTGTCTAATTACTTAATGGAACTGTCTGACAGTTGGAAAAAGTCAATGGGGTGGAACAGAGGTGAGAGTTTACTTTCACTTGCAATGTTTGGGAAGCTTGGGTCAAGAAACAATGAGATGGAGGTAGAGGCTGAGAAAGAGAAAGAGATAAAAGGGAAGATCCCATATCTTCTACTGTGATACTGTCCTTCTTACAATTTAAATACACAGCTGAAGAGGAAACCAACATTCTACTACCCTTTTCCCATCTCCTTTCACTAGAACTTGGGAGAAACCAATCAGAGAGGATTGCATAATTTCAACTCCAATGACCAAGTCACAAGCAAGAATAGACAATTCTGAATTAGGAGCAAGATCATTTATTAAGGAAAGATTTCCTAAGAACGGAGTATCTCACTAGGTGCAAAGTTTAGATGAGACATAGTACCTTCCCATATAGAGTTTAAGATTTCCTCTAGCTTTAGGATGCAGAACTTAGATCTAAATGGGCCCTCACAAGTTATCTACTCCAACCTTTTCATTTTACAGAAGAGGAATACAAATAGTAAAGCACTTGGCACCTGAGTTTTTAAAAAGACCAATGAAGCTATAGTAAAACTGGGTATTTTAAAAAAGTACTACTTTAACTTTAAATAACACAGATGCTATTAAAAACAAAAACAACTCTGATGTAATTTATCATCTATAATGTATGTTCCAGGACAAATATATTCTAAATCTAAGGGAAGTATAGTCACAATATGGCCTTGGTGATTCAGTATCTATGTGCTCTAGTCACATTGCCAGCAGTTTTGAATTATATTATTTCACTCCAAATTCCTTAATTTATGAACCTGCTGTGGCTGGATAATGGTGCTTTTTTTTTTTTTTTTTTTACATTGCAAGAACACTAAATTTGGGACCAATGAAATCTAATAGTTTGTGACTTTAATCACAATGACCTATGCCACATCAAATGACCTATGTTTACCTTCACCAAGTGAAATATCAGTTATGGAAATCTTTTAAATAATATTCTTCTTGCCTTTTATCTTTTTTTGTTAAAGTAAATTTTTCTAATAATTTTCATTAAAATAGCATTTCAATGATAACAGGTCAAAAATATTATTTTAATATACAAAATATGCAACTGAACAAAATCAATCAGAAAATCTAATGAATGATTATTTTAAAATACAAAAAAGAACGTTACTTACAAAGGAACACTTTCTTTACCCAAAGTTGGGTTCATAATGTAGTCTTTGGTGACTGGCTTTACCCACAGCAGGACCATAAATAAGGGTGCCAAGAAGTTTATGTGAAGTAATGTTCTGAAAGCACATAAAAAAATATCATGAATGCAGAAAGAGAACAAATGCTGCTAATTAACCTGTGGAAAACTTGAGTCAAATTGAAATTTAGAATTTACTGCTGATACTCTGGAGTCTACTAATACTACTACCGCCACCACCTTACTATACACTGCTTTATTTTTCCCCAGAATGTGCTAACACCTGATTTCATTTGATCATCACAATAATTTTGTGAGAGAAATATGGAAGGCCTTATCATCACTATATGCTTACGGAACTGAAGTTCCGAAAGGATAGCCAAGATCACATGGCTGGTCAGGGGCAGAACTGGGCTGAGAATCCCCCAGTCTCTTGGTCCTATACTCTTTCCACTACTCCCCTTCCTGCTATCCTTGCTCTCAGATTCAATGAAAAGCTCCATGAGCAGTTCTCTGAATCAAGTGTTCAATGACCCCAGTGAATTCAGTTTTTTACATTTAATGCAGCTAAGAGAATGTGTCTTTTCATTACAGAGGAGAAAGTTATATCCATTTAAGTGGTAGTGATTAGAGAGGTCCATAATACTACTCTATAAGGCATATGACAGACAAACCAGAGTGAAACACTGTTTAAATTAGAATCCCTTCAGTATATAATGATCATGTAAAAACTTTAAATCACATTATCAATATCATATGTGATTCACAAATTTTCATTTCTTCTTGGATCATTAAAAACATACCTGAAATTAATTTTCATATCCTATACAAATCAAGGAAATTTATTTCATTTCTGACAAGGCAATATTCCCAATACAGCAAAGGGCTTCAGTTCATAGCTGTAACTTCATTGTTAATTGTACTCGGAATTTTTACCCCATGATGATTGGAAAAGATTTTTTTATTATTTTAGAACAAAGGCAAATTCTTTAGAACAGTTATTTTATTTTACAGGTACTGGTTTTATTGTCAACTATCCTGAATGGCTAAAATTGAGGGGGTTCAAAGAACCATTTTTAAAAGTAAAATGGATGGCTCTAATATCATTGTATCTGAAAATGATAATGAATTGTGTGGGGAACAGTGTCTGAGTTAAGAAACCATGAACACCTGACAGGAAAAAGGTAAAAGTTTGGCCAGAGCCCTCTAAGCCTAGTAAGAGTCGATGCCTGCCATGAGGGTAACAACGTCTTTGTGCCAGTCACAGTCCTCTCAAAGCCAGGCTAGCGTGCCCACACCCCTTGCATCTAGGCAGAGTGCTGTAACACAATGGGGGGTGGGGGTGTTCAGGAAAGGACTGCAGCAAACCAAAAGCCCCCCCCCCAAGAAAATTCCCAAGCACACAAAAGCAGAATCTCTACAAAACCACATGTAATTCCAAGAGCCACTAAAATGTCCACAAAAATAATAAATGCTTAAATATTTTTATGAGGTGTTTCTTTCATCCAGCAGTCTGAGTAAGGCAGTGGGCTTAGCCAAAGAAAGAGGCAGTATTAGGTATGCAGTGTTGCTAGGGAACACTATAGTATCAAGGAGCAGCCCACAGCGGTTTCAGTAGCTTGTGAAGGGCTCCCCTCCACCCACCCTTTTCAGCTTATTTAAATCATAACGCTGGGGTTAGTGGACTGAAGTGTGTGTGCAGAGTGGAGGGGGAGAATCAGGTTTTTTCTTAAAAGAAGCCATTAGAGAGACGGGTGGTGGGAGAAAGGCAGGATGTAGCCAAGAGCATGCTGAGTAAAAGGAGGAAATAAAAGGGGATGAAGGGGTGTGTGGTGGGAGGTGGGAATAAGTACACCCACACACAAAGCATATGCAGAAAAATGGAGGTGGGGGAAACAAAACAAAAGGACTGTCAAAATTAAATAAAGGAAAATGACACAGGTAAAAGAGATATGAATGCTCATCTCCCTAAGAAAAGACTGTAAAGAAGCACCATCATTAAATACAGGGTTTTACAGATGAGGAATGTTAGGAAATATGAATTACTCAAAGGATCCCAATGATTGTAAATAAATAGATAAAATGGAACATTTTCCACTTTGGGCTTCCACTGCAGGAAAAAAAAAAAGACTAGAGGGAAACTTGGACCCATATATAAATTGAACTATATAGCCTTTTTCCAGATGGAATTAAAGAAAAATCTATTGATAATCAGAGAGTAGAGTGTAATGAGCTTCATGAACTATTTTGGAAATTCAGTAAAACACCTCAAACTAAAAAAGTGTTCAGTGACACACAACAGTGCAGTGCCAGAAACCAAATAGCAACACTGTAATTTAGAGCAATAATTTGATTAATATTTTTAAAAGATTATGGAATATCAACAACTTAAATTATGTTATCAACATGCTCAATAAAAGTCATTTCTTGTACTGTTAACTAAGGTTTTAGCATATTTGGCACCTAAACACAAAAGTTAAGAAAAAATCAAGTGCTTGGATTAAGAAAGTAAAATACACATGTCTCCAAACTAATGTTTATTGATTATGTCACTGTGAGTACTAACAATTTAAATAAAAGCACAAATATGTATTTGTGTCTTTTATATTCATCTCAAAGAACAAAATGTATTTGGAAGGGCAGAAAGGGAGAGGGTAAAAAGCTTTTAAAAATACATTGCACTAACAAAAGCAAAAGTAAAAAGGGTGTTCAACTTGTATAGAAATATGAAGTACAGTCTAAGTAGATCAAATGATTACTTCATTATTAATTTTCATTACAATAAATTGCATATACCTGCATTAAGATGAAAAACATATATTTATCTGCATGTGCTTATGTACATTTTCCGCTTACTGTGTTATTTTTTCTGTTGCCAAATTCAGGGCATCCAGATGCATTTGAGCCAGCCGCAACCCAGGGAAAGTCAAAAAAGCACCAATAAGTGAACACAGAACAGCCAGGAAAAATTTGAAAGTAAGTTTAGACACAGGACCCCTAAAAAAATGAAAAGATTCATCAATATTTCCTTAAGTGACTTTGTGAATTTCCTTTTTCCTATCAATTTATCCCATAAACTACATTTACTAATCACAACCACAAACATTTAAAACAGATTCAGGTAAACTTCTTACTCAAGACAATGGTAGTAATAAAGGCAACTCTGACTTTAGTTAAAATTTTCATTGGCAGAAAGTATTTAAGAGAAAATATCAGAGAAAGTGAATTCTAGCCAGAATTGTTTGAATCCAGAAAGGCCAAAATAAAAGCAAGTAAATAAGATTAATAATGGTAGATAGATGCAAAGTCTAAGGGCAAAAATAATAATGCAACTTCCCTGTAACAAGGATAAAATTTTTAGAAAATAGGTAAAGCAACAAAGATGACACCAGAAACGACGTTTTCTTCCCAAAAATGTAAATTTTAATTTTCAGTTAAAATATTTGGATTTCATCCTTAAAATTTTCCAAAACTTACTGGGATTCTAAACCTTGCTTTTCAAGAAACTGCATCGCACTTTCTGAAAAATTTGTAAAACCTGTAGGAAAAAAAATGGATTATTCTTATCAGGGACAAAATACAGAATCTTTCTTTGGAAATAAAATGCTAGAAAATAGCATCTTAAATTTTCAAGTGTCTAGCTTAGCTCTTTCATGTGCTAATTAGTATGCCACAATGCAATAAAATTTGGTTATTAACAGGAACAGTCTTTGAAAACATCCCTTTGATATTTGTACATTCCATGAACGTGAATAAAATTTGCATTAATTCTTCAGGAATTTGTTTAATTTTTTTGCATCACAGAAACATTTAACTGTAAGAAAGTTGCAGGATGTGGATTAAAACTGAAAGGTAAGCAAATAATATCAACAAAGCAAATACTGCACAATGAAGACTGGATTCTTTTTAAAAACAATGAATAGTAAATTGTGCCTTTTAAAATGGGACATATACATTCCAAACATGAAGGAATTAAAAGTACACCTGAAACATTAAAGTTATTTTAATATAGATGGGGGGGGTGACAAATTAATTTATATACATGTGTGTGTGTGTTTGTGTGTGTGTGTATTCATCTAAAGTTCAAAGCATTTATTACCTGTTTCAAGTCCAAATTCTAGGTAGTTTTCAGTAACAATCAAGATTGCCATGGCTTTGACAAAGAAAAAAAATCCAAAGGTAACACAAACTGATCTTTCACCACCTTCTTCTACTTTGAAATAGTGTGTAGTCAACGAAAACAGTACCTTGCTGTAGGAATAAAAAGTTCAGGAAAAAAAAAAGGAACAACTTTGTGGAGTCCCAACAGTAGTACCATTTTATGCTACCTGAAATGCCATTAGAATTTCAACACTCTCTACAACATACTGTGGAAATCTGGCCATTCTCCCAGGAAGCAGAATGTATCATTTAAGAACACAGCAGGTTCAAGTATGGTTTAGAATAGCCCTGACTTAGGGAAAGAGCATAAACAGTAGCAATACTGTCCTTGGACAAATAGAGTAGACATTAAAATACAAATGAGTATCATATTGTACTATAGGTTACTATATTAATTTCTATGCCATAGGTTCTTGGAGACATGAAAGACCAGGAAAGGAGTCATTTTAGGAAACTAAAGATTTTCCTTGCACTGGTGTGTGTACTAGGCAACACACAAGCCTGTTAAGGAAAATCATCAGTAATTCCTGGATTGAAGGTAAAATTTAGAACTCAAAGTCCAGGGCCTTCTAGGTCATTTCATCTAACACCCCCATTTTAGTAGGAAGAAACTGAGGCCCACAAAGGCTAAGGGATTTTCCCAAGGACAAGGGTAAAGACCAGCAGCGTCAACATTCGAACTTCAGTCTTTTCCCTCCAAAATCAGGGCACCCCACAAAACTACAATGCCTCCAATCCTGATGCTACTTTAACCCACAGCCGGGAAACTATTTTAGGTTTTACATCTGGAGACATTATGGCTTAATCAGAAAACATGGAAAACATAAGTTCCAAATTAATGTGTGTGATTCTAAGCAAGTCACTTTTCTATGCATCAAGATTTTCATAGCAAAAAGGGATTCCTAAGATAAAAAAAAAATTAGTGCTAAAATGAACCTCAGAAATAATTTTACAATCAAATCACACTTTCAGTGACCTGATCAAAGTGAGTTTAGTGATAAAGCCTGGACTAGAATCCAGGTACTTCTGCTTCTCTGGTGATTTTTTCACTATAGTACACTATCTTCTTTAAAGAAAAAAAAAATACCTATACAAACACAAAAGTATTTATGAGTTAGACTTTAAATTCTAGCACTAACATATCACATTTATGCACAGAAGAAACTTCTACTTATAGCAAGAGGAGATGTATTTATTCATGTATCTAGAATTGGAAATCAATGAATTTTCCCATAGAGACAATTCTATATTCAGGTGTTAGATGCAGTTGAAACAGTCTTTATTACTCTTTCAGTCTTATATTCTAACCTTATGGACTCAAACAGCTTGGGAACTTAACTATAATACTGTTTCTAAGGAAACACTCTTGAGTTCAAAATAACCAAGCTTAGAAATCAACTCAAAAAACAATAGCTTCACAAAGTGAGGATTATTTCTATTACGGAAGTGGAAAAAGTTAAGGGAATGGAGTTTCAGCCTTGTTTCTACTAACTAACCAGCTATGTAACTTTGGACAAATCACATTTTTCTAAGGCTTCAGTTTCCTCATCTGTAAAACTTTTGAGTAAAGTCCCTTTCAGCTCTGAGAACCTATGACTCCAAGAGCATAAAACAGACAAATTCTTTACCATTCACATAATTAAAAATCCAAGAGACTTTCTTGACCCTTTATAAAGCTATTAAATAAGTCTTTTTTTAATATGCTTGTAAACACAATGATAAAGACATTCCCCAAATTAAAACACAATCAACTGACCTGTCTGATTCTAGTCCAGGCTCTATCATGACTCACTTTGATCAAGTCACTGACAATGTGATTTGATTGTAAATTTATTTCTGAGGTACATTTTAGCACTTATTTTTAAATTGCTACTTTTTCCATATGCATCTCTGTGCAGAAACCAAAATGTCTTGGATTGACAGCAGCCACCGACCAGAGCTTGATACCATCTCACTCAATATATTTTTATTTCTCAAATAAATTGTGCATATATTATGCTCTCCCTTTCCCCTATTTTTACCATTCATAGTGCAATATATTCCATTTAAAGTAATCTTTTTTCCAAGTACCAGCATTCAAGATAAATGGATATTTATCAACTTGAATATTTTAATGCTATGAAAAAAATATTAGTTTCTATTATTTTTCATTGTAATGATCAAATACTTTTAAGTTACATTAAGTCAAGAGATTTTTTATGATAGTTTACGAACCCAAACACTATCATTCCAAAGAGTGTTTCTTTGGGGAAAATGTGTTCCTAAGTTTCAAATAACTGATGATTGATTATACGTTATTCTGTTGGCCTCTCATAATCTGACATCACCCTGTCTTTCCAAATTCATCTCACACTATACCCTTCCCCCACGAGCAACTGATCTGTTCTCTAAACTCATTCAGAATTCTCTACCTCTATAACTTTACTCATACGGTTTCCTATGCTGGCAATAACCTCACACTCCCCTCCATCTCTGCCTGATTAAATCCTACATATTCTTTAAAGGATGAGCTACGTCTCAGTGAATCCTTCCCTGACACACCCCTCCCTGCCCCCTGTCAGTTTTCATCCCTCCTCACTTGAATCACCCAGAACCTGAAATAGCACTTGTTACAGCACTTGCACCCTGCTAGTAGAAGTTCCAAAAGGCAGAGACTGCATCTTATTTCCTTTTTTTTCCTTCCCAAGGCAAGCATGTAACAACACACACCTAAGGGCAAGCCTCTTCAAAATATACTAAAAATAATTTCTTTAATCTGTAAGCCATTATAGATTTCTTATTCAAAGTCACCCTGTGGCAAGCTGGAAACTTCTTACAATCCTACCACATCCTGGTCAACTCACCTATCTAGGGAGGGTCCTGAATGATGAGAGGAAGTGTGGTACATCAGGAAGAACCCGGTCCAAATCCTGTGTCTGATATTTACTAGCTTTGGACAAACCATAAATAAGACCTCAGGTAATTTACTCCTGAGATGCTCTACATAATTTAAAAACATTTACAGTGAGTTAATGAATGTAATTTGATACCACAGTATCTGTATTTGCCATTATAAGTATACACGACATCAAATTGTAGTATTTTATTCATATTGAACATTTTGAAACTACATGGGCTTTTTATTAAATGGAAACTATTAATATTGCCCATTTTTGCTCTTTGGTCTGTTGTATATACTGAAAACATGAGAAAATATCTACCCATCTACCCTCTTGTGCTTTTTGGTTCACATATCAGTGAATGTAGGTATTGAATATGTTAAATCTCAGAGACAGTTCAGGCCACCTAGTCAAACCCATAAGTCAAAAGAAATTCATTCTCTATCTAGCATACACATGACTGGTCATCCAACTTGCATTTGAAGACTCAGTGAAGGAGCCCACTCCACTTTCTGATCGCTAATTGGCTTTGTGTTTTCCCCAAAGAGTTTAAGTGAAAGAAGAAAAATAGTTGAGGTAGGAGGATTGAAGAATTTTTTTTTTTAATTTTCTCTATTCACTATTAATCTGTCCTAGAATTCACTGCAATTTATGGGTATTAATAGTTAAATTTTAACCAAAGAATCTTTTCATTAAGAACTGAAATTAAACTCAGCTAAATGCTTTACTTAAATGTCCTGTAAACAACATTCAATACTTTAGCTAAATATCATCCTTCATTTTTTATTGTAATTAAACTTTTTAAAAAATTACAGTCTCTTCTGAATTTATGCCAACCCCTAGAAATTCCCAAACTTAACTGAAGCAAAGAAGTTGGTTTGCATAAGTTTCCATAAAATCTAATGTCAACTTTTTCCAGATATTTAGTATGAGGGAAGGGGAAAGACAACATATTTCAGGCAAGATATTTCTATAACACACACACACACACACACACACACACACACACACAACAGCAGAGTTTCACTCATCAACAAATCTGATAAATTTATCAAATTGGCAAGCTCCCTATTTTCAGAGCAAGGTTGTATCCCAGGATTCTTCATCTTCTGCCTCCCCTCAAAATTCCTTTTAAAGATCTCAAAACCATCAGTAGAAATTAATAAACCTTTACTAAACTTTAACCTGAGTTTTCTTACTGTTAATTACAAATTTAAGATTAAGGCAATTGCTTTAGCAATTGGGAAATGTTTAAGAACGGTGTGATCCCAGATTTGACAGAAGGATAACTAGAGTAGGATATAAGTTGTCAATTTCAACTAAATGTTAAAATTATTATATTTCAATGGATTCAATATGATCATTATGAATTATGCTGACGGAACATGACAAAAATTTTACCTTTTACATGTTCACTTTCTACAAAACTTAATTATTATGCATGTTCTATCACCACTTCTTGCAAGACATTGTTATTCACTTAACAAATTCAGATTTTTATATGTGTGATCTTACCTGACATACAAGTTAAGAAACAGTTTGCTGTGATATAAAGTGAATGAACCATTTATCCCTTGGAAAAAATATAACATATTGAATATGTATATTTATGTTTTATATATAACTTATATACAAGCAAAACCAAGGTTTTCCTGCACAAGATACTCTCACTACTCTCTTCCTTTAGAGCTCTCATTAGGGTAGAGTGCTGGCCTATAGTAATTAAGATGGAATAAATGTACTTAATTAACTTTTGAGTTAAAAAAAAAAAATCAACCTTCTAAGTATGAGTTGGGCAGGCATGACCAAACAGGAATTTGTCTGAAAAGGATGTTGGGTTATCAACAAATTATAAACTCAATGAGTCAACGGTTTAACATGGAAGCCAAAAAAATATGTTGCAGCTTTAAGCTGAGGAGCGGGGTACAGGACTTGGGACTTGATAGTCTTGCTATATACACTATGCCCTCATAAGCATGGATCTGAATATTTTAACCAATTACAATATAATGCCACATTTTAGTAAAGACACAGATGAGTTGAAGACTAAACAGAAGAGAGCAAGCAGGATGATAAAGGATTCAAGATTGGATCATAAAGGTACCTGCACTTCCAACACCACAAGGGCTGAGGGGAGGTGAGGGAGCCAGAAAGACGAGAAGGAACTGGCTGAAGAATAGCCTGGAGAGAAAGATTCCCACATAGATGGCC